TTAGGTTTAGGGTTAGGTTAAGGGTTAGGTTTAGGGTTAGGTTTAGGGTTAGGTTAAGGGCTAGGTTTAGGGTTAAGTTTAGGATTAGGTTTAGGGGGGTTAGGTTTAGATTTAGGGGTTAATTTTAGGTTTAGGGTTTACAGCCTGCTTCTGTCTCCGTGCTGTTGTCGCCCTGTTGATGATGTCAGCGACGCGGTTTAGTCGGGCGCGGTTTAGTCGGTGAACCGACATACCCATTCTACCTGGGGATGCCGTTTCCCCCTCCCAAGATTCCATTTACAAGGAAAGAAGAATGCTGGGGTGTCACTGGACTTTCCCCCCGCCCTGGCTCCTCTCAGCCTCAACTTCGCTCCTGAAACCCTGTGGGCCACTTCTCTGCCAGAGCTTGGTTCTGGGAGAGACCCTTGGCGCGCTCCTCAGGCGCAGCCACTTCTGCAGCAGGAGATTCAAGCCAGCCCTCCGAAGGGTACTGTAGAAGCAGCTGTCAAAAAAAACCTTACCCTTATTTTGTCCCGATCCATGTGACTCACTGGGCCATGTGGGTCGGGACGAAATAATGATAAAAAAATTGTGGATACCTGCTGCTAAAGTACCCTTCGGAAGGCTGGTGCGAGGCGCATGGAGTGCATCGCTTGGCCTCCTCCTGCTTTTATGGCTGCAGTCGATGGCAAAAGCACCCACACTTGCTGAAGGCCGCAGCCTGAGTAGCACCCGCAAATCAGCTGTTTTGGAGCTGCTCAGCTTATCCGATTAAGGAGCCGAGAAGCACTGAGGTGACTGGGGAAGGGAAGGGCTTCCTCCTGTGCTGGCCATGCCACCCTTTCACTAGGGTTTATTTTTGGGGGAGGGCATATATTTACGCACACCTCAAAAATTAGGCCTGGTCTTATTATAGGACATGTTGTATTTATGGGGAAACACATTATTAGTGTATCAATGCAGTCTTAGAATTATTGGAAGCATGTCATTTTCGTTGTTAGGGTCTAAAAACAAGCAGGAAGACCGGAATATTTATCTAATTGATGTATTTAGTTGATTTATATAGCCATTCTACTGAGCATATAATTCAGATTAGTATATGTAATCGATAAAAATACACCATAAAACAATATAAAAATAACATATAAACAATTAAATGCTGAAAAACAACTCATCCAACAATTAACATCATTCCAAAACTCAAGGCTTGAGAAAAATATGTAGATCTTTATGCCTTCTGAAGTCAGGCAGAGTCTTGGCTGAATCTTAGCAAGAATATTGTTTAAAGTTAAGGACCAGAAACTGAAGGCAAGCTTCCCAATCATACTAGGAAGACATTGAGGGAGAAACAGGACCTTTAATTACGTATTGCAGAATTTATATTTGGTAAAGTTAATGTATTAATAACATTTTAAAAGTGGGAATATTGACTATTCATGAATTGTCACGGAGCTAAAAAAATGAGATTATGGAAAAATAATGATGCATTCCATATTCATTGTAGAGATGCACTTTGCCTATATATCAGTGAACTGAATCAGTGAATTTATTTATCTTAAAGAACTAGTTTATTTCATTGCAGTGACTTGGGTATGCAAATATTAAAATTATCATAAATTTATATCAAAACCCCAAAATAAAACCACATCATCAACAGAGCTCACCCAAACGCCTATTTCAAAAGCCGGACCAAGAATATATTTCACCAAACAGGGAAGCCTATTAACAGATTAACAGAGTTGGAAGGGACCTTGTATGTCATCTTGTCCAAACCCCCGCCCAAAGAGGAGACCCTACACCATTTCTGACAAATTTCAGTCCAGTCTCTTCTTGAAAGCTTCCAATGAATCCCTCGTTCATTTTCCATCCATTATTCCTTGTCTAGCCTTCAGGTGCTTTGGAAAATAGCTTGATCCCCTTTTCTCTGTGGCAGCCCCTCAAATATTGGAACACTGCTATCATGTCTCCCCTGGTCATTGTCTTTGCTAGACTAGCCATGCCCAAGTCCTGTAACAGTTCATCATATGTTTTAGCCTCCAATCCCCTAATCATCTTGGTTGCTTTTCTCTGCATTCTTTCTAGAGTCTCAACATCTTTTTATAGTATAGTGATCAAAACTGGATGCAGTATTCTAAGTGTGGTCTTACTAAGGCTTTATAGAGTGGTATTAGTACCTCACTTTATCTTGATTGTATCTCTTTGTTAATGCAATTTAGGATTGTATTGGCTTTTTTGGCTGCAGCTGCACACTGTTAGCTCATATTTAATTGATTGTCCACTAAGACTCCAAGATCCCCCTCACAGTAACTGCTATTAAACTTGGTTTCACCCAGTCTACATGTGTAGTTTTGGTTTTTCTTGCCTACGTGTAAGACTTTACTTTTCTCTACATTGAATTTCATTTTGTGTTCAAGTCTGCCAAGATCCATCTGGATCTTGAGTCTATCATATAGAATGTTGGCTATTTCTTGCCAGCTTAATATCATCCCCAAATTTGGTAAGTTCCCTTTCTATTTCCTCATCTAAGTCGTTTATGAAGATATTGAAGCGTACTGGGCCTAAGACGGAATCTTGCGTGGCCCGACAAAACCGCACTCGTCAAAATAGCGGTGACAAAACTGCGTCGCTAAAGCCGCGACGTCATCACCGCGACGTCATCACCGCGGCAACAACAGCGCGGTGACAGAAGGGCTCTTTAAAACAGCGTGGCAGCAGAAAGCCGATTTAAATTAAGGTAAGGGTTAGGATTAGGTTTAGGGGTTTGGTTTAGGGTTAGGGTTAGGGTGCTGAGTGCTGAGTGCTTCGGAAGGCGCGGATTTGCCCTCCGCGGTTATGTCGTTGCGCTAGGGTCGCCTTTTTCCTTAGCGCTTCAGACGGCACGGATTTGCCCTCCGCGCTTATGTTGGCGCGGATAAGGGCTTCGCGGTTTTGTCGGTGAACCGGAATCTTGTGGTATCCCACTGCTTACTTTCCTTCATGGAGATGTAGTGCCATTAAGGACTACTCGTTGAGTACAGTTTATCAGCCAATATTATGTAAGATTTTTAATGGGATTATAGATAATTGCTGAAAATGAAAAGTAGGTCGTATAGACAGATAAAATTTAAAAAGATAAGAGAGGTATAGTACAAAAAATTCATCAATAGATGTGGCATGAGCCATATCTCTAAGAAATAAATAAAAATAAAGGAATTAAGCAATATATAATATAAATGTGATGGAGTTGTTTATGGTTCATTGTGTTATGCCCATCATAGCAATTGATAAACTATGGTTCTGATAATTTGGGCTAGTATGTTCAAATACAGCTAGTGATATACTTTGTTGTAGCAGTGAAGGTTGAGTATAAGAGAAAATTGCTTCTACAAGATCTTCTACTGCACTAGTGTTACAATAATATAATGGAAAATAAGTAAGTTAAACCTATTCTTAAGTATCTTATAAATTTCAGTATATTGAATATTCTTTTTCCTTATAAATTTCAGTATATTGAGTATTCTTTTTTCTCTTGCAGGTGATTAATCCTTCATGATCAAGGTATTATAAATTTTGTAGTTTCAGTATTAATTATTGAGCTACCTTGATTCTATGGAGTAATGCTGAAATTCCAGGAAGCGGTTAAGCATGGTACATCATTTACACCTATTTTTATCCACTCAAAAGCACTAATTGCAGGAAGATACAATATTTATCAAAAACTTGGACATGGAAGTTTTGGAACCGTTTATCTGGTTTCTGACAAGAAAGCAAAAGAGGAAGAACAGTTGTAAGTGTTGTATAAAATGAATTGACTTAAAACTGCAAATATGCATTTTTGTTTAAATATTGCCTTCTGAGAAAATGGTAGAATGGAATAATATTTATTTATAAACAACATTTAGTCAATTTTCACAGGTATTAAGTGTTTGCAGCCATACAGATAAAACTGGTACTGTCTTAAATACATCTTGTTAAAAATAACCTAGCTTGCTTCAAAATAGTTATGTCATGATAAGGACATATATGATTCTAGCATTATACATATTTTGCATATGTTCTTCTGTAATATGTTCCTTTTATTCATAATTCATTCATTTTTAAAAGATTCAGCTTGATCTTTACTGAACTAGTGCATAGTAGCTTACCAGTGCAGTTTTCTGCTAATAAACTCTGAGGAGCTGCTGTGTCTCCTTAGCAACTACTGCATCCCCAATAACTTATTTATGCTTATTTTGAAACAAACATAACAACTTTCATTTATGTATCTATTTTCTGAGATTGTGGTGTGTAACCCAGAAAGAGATCTTAAGGTCAAAGTGACTAGTGTGATGAAAATGTCAATTGTGTTTTTACTAAATACAACAGCCCCCAATCTTTTGGACACCAGGGACGTACGTGTGTGTGTATGGTTTCAAATGCTACCTACATCCCCATGCGTAGATGAAGCTTGCGCTGAGCAGTTCCTAAGAGGCTGTGGGCTGGTACTGCTCTGTGCCAGTGGTTGGAGACACTTGACTAGAAAACTAAATTCTCTCTTAGAAATAAAGGTAGTCCTCAACTTACAATAGTTTATTTAGTGATAGTTCAAAGTTACAACATCACTAAAAAGTGACCTATGACTGTTTTTATGACCATTGCAGCATCCCCATTGTCACATGATCAAAATTCAGATGCTTGGCAACTGACTCATATTTATGATGATTGCACTGTGTTTGGGATCATGTGATCACCATTTGCTATCTTCTGACAAGCAAAGTCAATGGGGAAACCAGTTTCATTTAACAACCGTTTAAATAATTTACCAACTGCAGTGATTCACTTAACAATTGTGGCAAGAAAAGTCGTAAAATGGGTAAAACTTAACAAATGTTTCACTTAGCATCAGAAATTTTGGGCTCAATTATAATCGTAAGTTGAGGACTGGCTATATTTAGAAAAAAAGATAAAAATAAATTTCCAGATCTTGTGCTTTTATCTAAATCTATTATGTATGCTTCTCTTAGAATGCCATATATTCTTCCAATTGATACAGTTCATTAATGATATTGTAAAGTTGGAAAAGTTTGAAAAAAATACAACAAAGTTTATTGCTAAATTGGTTCAATTTTCTTATGGAGGTACCGTCTATATAGTTACATTAAAAAACAGTATGCAAGAATAGAGATATTTATAAAATTAGACATGGTTTATATAAAGTGTTCTGCTTCATTTAAAAAAAATATAAGTGCACAATGAAACTGAACAAGAGACACAGAAATTTGAAGAATGGACTTCCTTAACAACATGACCTGATACATTCATTTTCTATTGTATATTTTAATTTTAAATTTTACAGCTAATTTTCTTCATGCATCTAAAAGAGCTAGTTTGGTGTAGGAGTTAAGGCATCAAGCTAAAAACTGAGGAATTCTGGAGTTCTAATATCTCCTTAGATACAAGGCCAGCTGGGTGACCATTGGCCAATCTCAGTCTCTCTCAGTCCAAAAAGAAGGCAATGGCAAACCAAATCTGAAAACATTCAATCTAGACAGTCACTGATCTGAAATAGTATAGGTTCTCCTTTTTGAGCAAGGGCCTCGACTAGAGTACCTCCAAGATCTCTTCCAGTTCATTCATTCTAACATTGCCAAGAAAACTACAGATTGTAGTCCATGCAATTGCCAAAAATCAACATTAACTTAGGTAAACACTTTTCTGCTTATAGAAACTTGCAGTTTAGCACTCTACCATTTGATGGAGCCAATGCTCTGTACGATAGTAAAGTTGACATTTCTAAGGTGGCACAGCAGTTTTTAGCAAAAGTGTTCAATCTTTTTAATATTCAAATTACTCTTTTTTACAGTTGGACTAAATTACATTGAGGGAAGGAAAAGCTACAGTGATATTTCTGTTTGAATATTAAATTCTTCAGAAAATCTTAACTAATATTTATTTTTGAATTTAAGAAAATATTGTGTCATTTAGCAAAACTGGTAAAAAGCTAGGAATTGTCACATGTTGCTGAAAACCCTGTTATTTTAGCTCAAGAATCATTTTGCTAAAACATTCCAACTATTGTTTTCAGGAATGCCTCTTCTTTTATGACAATCATTAAAAATACATCTAAAATTGTTTTTCTATATTGTAATATTGATATAAAATTTACATGGTGCTGCATGTATGCTATTTCAGCTCATATTAGATCTCAGAATATGATGGCTGTGTCATGTACAGGTAGTCCTCAACTTACAACTACAACTGAGCCCAACATTTATGTTGTTAAGTGATAAATTTGTTAGGTGAGTTTGCTCCATTTTACAACTTTTTTTTGCCATATTTGTTAAGTGAATCACTGCAGTTCTTAAATTAGTAACATGGTTGTTAAGTGAATCTTGTTTCTTTGCTGGTCAGAAGATCACAAGAGGGGATCACATGACTCTGGGACACTGCAACTGTCATAAATGTGAGTCAGTTGTCAAACATCTGAATGTAAATCACGTTACTATAGGTATGTTGCAACCATTATGACAAGTGTGAAAAATGGTCATAAGACATGTCTATGGAGGTTCTCAGTCATCCAGGTCCTGATTGTCCCAAAGGTGATTTTTTCAAGAGGCAACTGGACTTTCTGATTTTTCTTTGAAGATGTTTTGCTTCTCATCCAAGCTTGGATTCACATAGTTATTTTTACATATTTTTACATATTTGTTTTTGCATATAAAAGGTTAAAATATACATTCTGGATTGCTTTACTTACCGTCCCATACATCTATTTTGTATTATCGCCGCCCTATTTTTTCTTTTCTTTTCACCCTCCCTCCCTTCTCTACCTTCTTCCTTCCTCCTTTCCCTTTCCTTCTTCCTTTGCCTCTCCCCTACTCTTCTCTTCTTCTTCCTCTTCTTCTCTTTCCTTCTCTTTCTATCCCTTCCCCCCTTCCTCTCCTTTCCTTTTTCTTCCTTCTCCCCCCTTTCCTCTCCTCTCCTCCTCTCTTCCTTTCCTTTTCTGTTGTGGTTATCTCTTTTCAATGCTGAACTGGTGTATTTTCAGGATGGTATTCCCACAAACACTGTTATAATTTTATGCTTATCCTATTCCCTTTTCTTCATTATCTTGTCCTAACTATTTTTTCCCTCTATATCTCATTCTTGAACATATACTTATATATTAATACTTTCTTTTCTATTTTCTCCCCTCTTCCCCCCTTTCCATTTAATAGTGTCTCGCTTAGGTTTTATATCTCTCTCTTGCTTTCTTTTCTAGATTCCTTTCTCTAACTAATCATAAAATCTTTCCCATGTCTTGAAGTGCACCGATTCCTCTTTATCCTCTATTCTCAAAATTAACCTGTTTATCTCTGCACAATCTAATTTTTTTTATTATCTCTTCTGTTGGTATCTTATCTGATTTCCAATTCTGTACAAATACAATTCTCGCTGCCGTAGTTATATGTATAATCAAAGATGTAGCTTCTTTTTTATATTTCTCTGGAAGGATATTCAATAAAAATATCTCTGGCCTAAGCTCTATATTTCGCTGTAACATTTTTTCTAACCATGTTCTTATCTTAATCCAGTAGTTCCTTGCTTCTGCATACGTCTACCACATATGACAATATGAACCCATACATTGTTGACATTTCCAACATTCTGCTAATTTATTTTTAAACATCTTTGCTATCTTTTCGGGTGACATGTGCTATATATAAAACATTTTGTATAAATTTTCTTTGCACAATGTTGACACAGTTAATTTGTAATTCCTTTCCCATAGTTGTTGCCATTTCTCTAGTTCAATTGTATAACCAAAATCCTTTGCCCATGCTATCATTGTATCCTTAACCACTTCTTCTAATCTGATTTTTAATAGATAGCTATATAATTTCTTGACAGTTCTTTCTTCTGTTCCCATAAGAATCTAATCCAGCTCTGAACTTCTCAAGTTAAAACCATACTCTTTGTATTTTTCGTATCTTGATTGTATTTGCAATTGTGAAAACAACCTATATCAATCCCTTGTTTTTCTAACTCTTGTTTTTGTCTTGATTCCCCCTTTTCGGTTAAAATATATTTGTATCTAATAACATTCTTCATACTACTAATGTTTGGATGTGTCAATACTTCCATTGTTGAAAGCCACGTTGGTATTTATAAGTAATATTTTACTTTTACTTTTTTTCATGTTGTTAATAGTCCATTCTTTATGTGGTATCTCTGGAAATAGCCATGTACTTACTTTTACCATACCACAAAAATGCATGCCAACCTAGTTGCAAATCATGTCCTTCCAAAGTCAATAATCTTGTATTTCTCAATAAAATTCACTCTTTCATCCAAGTTAGAGCAGCTGCTTGATTGTACAATTCCCAATTTGGTAATCCAAACTCGCTTCTGGTTCTTACATCTTGTAGCATTTTTATATTAATTCTTGCTTTTTTCTCTTGCCATATGTATTTCCCCACTATTCTATTCATACTTTCAAAGTATTTTTTCTCTAGCTTTATCTGTATTGTTTGAAATAGATATAAAATTCTTGGTAATATATTAATCTTTATTATCGCTATTCTTCTCATTAATGGTAGTTGTAAATTTCTCCAATTTTCCAAGTCTAATTCTATTTGTTTTCTCACCTTATAATAGTTATCCTACTTTATTGTTACACATCTTGATGTCAGTTGAATACCCAGATATTTCACTTTTTTCACTATCTGTATTTCCAATTTTCCCATTAACTTCTGTTTTCCTGTTATATTTTTCACCATAATTTTTGTTTTATCTTTGTTTATTTTCAATTCTGCTACCACTCCATAT